TATCTGTAATAAGCTGCTCTCATCGACCTACCAGACCTAACTGATCCATGTGGTTTTCTCCAATTACCTGCTGCTACTCTCCAACTACCTAGATTTTGCTGCTCCCCTTAAACTTCCTAGAATTGCTGTTCCCTCCCCAACCTAGAATATTCTGTTTTCTTCCCTTTATGCAACTACCCCCTCCTCTCTGAAAGTACTGATGCTACTCTGGAACCCAACCCCCCCTCTTAAAGTACTGGTGCTACTCCGGAACCCCTCCCCCCACTCTGTAAGTACTGGTGCTAACCCCCTCTCTGTATGTACTGGTCCTTCCCCACCCCCTTCTCTGTAAGTACTGGTGCTGCTACCTGACAAACTGCTGGTAAATTCTGTGGAATTGAGCAGTTAACGTTGTAAAGGAAAAATATTTAGTCTGCCCAGGGTGACAGGAGAATAAAAAGATAGTATCCAAGATTTAGAGACTAATTTCTAGAGATTAATGTTTGCAATTACAGATGGATGCCAAATCCTTTTCCTGAGTGGTATATTGAGAATCCAGTTCCTGGTAACCCGTACTTTGGCTCATAGTACGTGTAATGTACAGTACTGTACATTAGAGTAGCTGTACAGCAGGCCAGTAATTGAAAGTATTTGCAGGGGCACATATGGTAAACAGGGAGGTGAGGGCCAGGGGGGGGTCAGAGCCCCTCTTACACAGTCATAAAGCACATATTTTACCTAAATTTGATATCACATGGGGGGCACGCTCCCTTGTGCCCCCACCCTGTTACGATCCTACTGTAAAGTACATACTGAGGATTTTAGAAGAATAATAGTACTTTAGAAAGGGGTTAAGTTAAAGTAATTGTGATATCAGTTTAAATATTATAAAAGAAGTCCTGCACTGCATTCCAGAGGATTTTAATTTTAGTTGTACAGTATCACACAAAAAAGGGTTAGTCGCCATTTTTGTTTTACTGGCATGCCTTCGTACTGCAAGAGTTAGTCCTCTCTGAAGTAAATACCCTACTCCGTAAATTGTATTCGAACAGGTCTCTATCTAACCCAGATACAATCTCATGAGCTATTGATGTCAACCAGACGATAGATCGTATTTTACCAATGCCAAACCAATGGCCCAATCTCATCAGATATTTATGTCAACAAGGACACTAGCTATTGATCGATCAATACCAAATCAATGGGCATGATCTCATGAGCTACCAATATCAACCGGACACTAGCTCATATTATATCAATGCCAAACCAATGGGCTGCGATCTTGTCAGCTATTGATGTCAACAAGGACACTAGCTACTAATTGATCAATGCCAAATTACTATCTCGCAGTAATCAAAGCGGAGTCTCTATATTAACTGCAGTATTTGAGGTTTATATGTTACAAGTTAAAGTTAATAGACGTAATTACAATTCCTACGTCGTTGACGTTATCTATATCTCATGATTAGGACAATAATGTTACATATTTACAGCACAGTTAAAATAGGCGCAATTAAGATGTACGTCATTATTTATATCACATGATTAAGCTAATAATGCTATGTATTCATTTGAAGCGCAGTTAAAATGAATTATGGTGTATACGTAGAAGTTAACAAACATAGAAAATAAATAATGTTCAACGCGCTTTTTTATTAAAATATAACATCGCAATCAACTGTGACAAAAAAAAGAAAATAAAAGATCCATGAATATCTCTAGGTTTTTATATTTGAAGTACACAGGATGATCCTCGCTCATCAAAGAAGAATCTATCATTTATTCTAATGACTTATCTCTAGCTGCCAAGGAACTGTCTTCTACTAATTATATCAAGTTTCATCCCAACTGATTATTATTAACTTTAATATACAAACTATATAATATACTAGCTTGGGAACCTTGCTTTCGATAAAAAAAGTCCATTAAATTAACTTAGAATCTTAAGACCAAGCTAGAAACCATTCCCAGTCTTCTACCAATTTCCTCAATGAGAATTTAAGGAAAATGGATGGAAGGGCTCATGAGATATGTTCGAACATATAATTATAGGTTGTAATTGTTTTATTGTTCTTTTAATTCTACATTAAATTTCTTCTACGTTATAATTGTTTATTTCTCTTTTAATTCTACAATTAGTTTATTTTACTTTATATTTGTTTATTATTCTTTTAATTTTACATTTAGTTTATTTTACGTTATAATTGTTTATTTCTCTTTTAATTTGACATTTAATTTTATCTAATCTACGTTAAGATGTGTCTTTTATTATTATATTTTGAGGTTCTTTTTCGTTATAATTGTTTATAAACTTCTTTTTTCGATCTAATTTTGTAGTTTTTTCATTTGTAGTTCTTCAGTAAAAGTACTGTAAGTCAAGTGCCACTTCATGCAATGATGACAATGCCCGATTCACAATTGTACATTTTAAAGCTTTGTCTTATCAAGTATGAATTATATATCAATGTTTATTATTTTGTAAACTGATACTTGCAATTTTAAAGCTAGAACAACGTAACTATCTTTCAAATTATTGATAAAAAAGCTTTCAAGAGTATCGTTGTTAATCGAACCTAGACATTTTTGTATGTAGGGTCACATAAAATTACGTTAACAGTCCCTTTAAGTGTTTAATTCTAATTTTTGTACAATGTATACTAATGTATTGCACAATGTATACTAATGTATTGCACAATGTATACTAATGTATTGCACAATGTATACTAATGTATTGCACTCAAAGTTTGAATAAAGTTGTGTAAAATTAATATCTAAATATTTTGAAAAATGATGCTGAGAACTATTTAACTAAAATATCCTAAGGTTTAGTTTATTGTTAGTTAAAGATTTTACGTTTTACAGCTGAACATATAGATTTAGAGTTTTTTCAAACACGCATAATGGAGATTACTAAAAACTAATTAGATAAAGGGTGTCCCAATAAACAATACAATAAACCTACTGAGAAAGCTGTAATCTGTAAGAGTTTCGTCTGCTATCTTCACATTTTGTTTGTTCATGTTTTGACTGCATACGGTAGTACTTAGTAAAACAAGAAAATTACAATATACAAACAGAGTAAACTTGTCCGTCTCCACTGTTCATCTTGCGGATACATTACAGACACACCTTTACAGTCTTTTACCCTTTTCATAAAGTAAATTCTAGCAGACATAATAATATTATGGCTGTTGACATTAGGTATTGCAATGCCAATTCATAACAAAGACGATATCGAATTCGTCACTGAATTCCCATGTTTTTTGGGACAACCTGTATATTAAAGGGTCTGTCGTTGGTATTTTAAGTAATCCTCCATTTAAAGGGAGATATGCCTGATACTCAAGGATACCCTTGAAATCTTCATCAACAAAGTATGTAAGGATACCGTTGTGACTCTTAAAATTAAGTTTCTTTAAATATGTCAGACGTTTCAGTAGTGTTTAAGATAAAATCAATCGTACTTTGATCTTTTAAACAAAGTACTATTTCCATTGTCAAAAGTTTTGAAACTGAAACGTTTAATTATTAGTTCAGGACGGATAAAACAAAACCACGAGTTCAGGACATAGAAACCAAAACCATGAGTTCAGGACGGAGAAACCAAAACCATGAGTTCAGGACGGAGAAACCAAAAACATGAGTTCAGGACGGAGAAAACAAAACCATGAGCACAGGCCGAAGAAAACAAAACTCATAAAAAAAGCATGAGTTCATGATGGAGAAAACAAAAAGACGAGTACAGGACGGAGAAAACAAAACCCTGAGTACAGAACGGAGAAAACAAAACCATGAGTTCAGGACGGAGAAAACAAAACCATGAGTTCAGGACGGAGAAAACAAAACCATGAGTACATGACAGAGAAAATAAAACCATGAGTACATGACAGAAAAAATAAAACCTTCAGTACATGACAGAGAAAATAAAACCATGAGTACATGACAGAGAAAATAAAATCATAAGTACATGACAGAGAAAATAAAACCATGAGTACATGACAGAGAAAAGAAAACCATGAGTACATGACAAAGAAAATAAAACCATGAGTACATGACAGAGAAAATAAAACCATGAGTTCATGACAGAGAAAATAAAACCATGAGTACATGACAGAGAAAATAAAACCATGAGTACATGACAGACAAAATAAAACCATGAGTACATGACAGAGAAAATAAAACCATGAGTACAGGACAGAGAAAACAAAAACATAAGTTCAGTACGGAGAAAACAAAAACACCGAGTTCAGGAGGGAGAAAACAAAATCATGAGTACAGAACGGAGAAAACAAAACTATGACTACAAGACTGAGCAAACATAATTATGAGTACAGGACGGAGAAAACAAAAACATGAGTACAGGACGAAGAAAACAAAACCATGAGTACCTGACGGAGAAAACAAAACCACGATTGCAAGATGGAGAAAACAAAACCATGAGTACAAGATGGAAAAAACAAAAACAATGAGTACAGGACGGAAAAAACAGACCCTGAGTACATGACGGAGATAAGCAGTAAATGAGTACAGGACGGAGATAAGCAGACCATGAGTACAAGACGGAGATAAACTAACCATGAGAACAGGACGGAGATAAGCTAACCATGAGTACAGGACGGAGATAAGCAAACCAAGTACAGGACGGAGATAAGCTAACCATGAGTACAGGACGGAGATAAGCTAACCATGAGAACAGGACGGAGATAAGCTAACCATGAGTACAGGATGGAGATAAGCTAACCATGAGTACAGGACGGAAATAAGCTAACCATGAGTACAGGACAGAGATAAGCTAACCATGAGTACAGGACGGAGATAAGCTAAACATGAGAACAGGACGGAGATAAGCTAACCATGAGTACAGGACGGAGATAAGCTAACCATGAGTATAGGATGGAGAGAAAGAATGAAAGTGAATAAGTTGGATAGATAGGTAGGAAGGAACACATGGAGCGGACGGACCAATATCTTCTCTCCGGGGGTTCTGGAGGCTCTATTTGAGTACCAGTTCTTCACCTGCACCCGGGATTTAAACCTCTCTGTCCCGTCAGGTTTCAAACCTTACTCCGCCCCATACACTTTATTCTCCGTCCCTTGAACAGTGAATTATTCAGCTTGGATTACTGATCTAAGATCTGGTTAAAGTGAACAATGGAATAGTTTTCATCTTATAGTGTGAATTCAGTATTTAATCAGTGAAATAAATCAAGATTTATGTATTAAAAAACTAAAACTAACCCAACGTAGAATGTGAGGTAAACCTATATATTTAATTTTATATTTTATTTTATTCTAATGTGAGTCAGTTGTGGTTAATGTATGCCTATAAGACAAATATTAGAACAGAAGTAGACTAAAACCTAAATTCTTCCCATGGGACGTTTTAAGCTAAACTTTAAGTTTAATTATACATAATAAAGAGTACATCCACCATCTCAACTCTACCAAAAACATCTCTCTATTCCACAAACCATTTTAACTTCTCAGATCAATTTTCCATTCTATCCNCCCCCCCCCATATATAATACCTACTTTGTAAAATTCAGTTACTGAAACGTCAACATTTTTGTTTTCCGTTTTCTTAGAAATAGATTTTTTAATCCTCTATCTTTCTTTACTAAAGAAAAGTTTAAATAAATGTAAACAAGCCTTGGAAATTCAGATTATGCTGAAGATAAATCAACTTAGATTTCGATAGATAGATTAAAAAAATATAATCAGAAAAGAATAGGTAAATAATTTGATAAGAATAGATAGGTTATCTATCTTGATTTTTAAAATCCATATAAGCATGATTAACCTAAGTAAATGTGGATAAATTAAGATAACATATTAAATATCAATAAAAAAATACTACAAAATTAAATCATTTAAGAATAATTCTTCGATGAATCCACAAAAATCTACAAAATTGATAAAATGGTAATAAATCAAAATAAGACTAAGCTAAGTTGAGATACCTCCTGATAAATCTATTTAAAGGGAGTGACCGGTAATGTATGGTAGTTGAACTGAGATTGCAGTATTATTGAGAAATTTTTAGGATTCATTAGACATCAGACGTTTTTACAGTGAATATTTGTTCTGCAAAAGCGCAAATTTTGAGAATTGGTTTTATTTAAATTATTCAATGACGACCACAAAAATTGTAACAAAAATTTTACAGTAAACTAATTAGTTGTGTTAGTAACAGGCTGAGAAGATTAAAAATTAACTCTTATCATCGAAATAAGTAATTGGTTTCTGTAATGTCTCAATGGTCGAAACCATTTTCTGTTGATTTCCTGGTTTTTTTTAATGAAAAGACAACATTTGAAGAATTTGAAGAAATCTGCGATTAACTTCATAAAGAAAAAGAAGTTCTTAATATAATGACTGAATCTATCATTGATTTTTGACCAACTTCTAAGGATAAATATGTTCCTAAACACCTAAATAGTTTACTGTAAAAATATATTGCATTTTTCTTTGTGATTTTTGAATAATTTCTTTAAAACTGATTCTCAAAATCATCCCTCCAAAATGGACAATCAATGTGGATTTAAAATATTGAATTTGCGCTCTGCTGAAAAAATATGCACCATAAAAACGTCTGATAGGTCTCAAATGAATCCTAAAGGAATTGAATATTAGGAACAAAATCAAATATTTAAACCTCAATATCTTTAGAACCCGATGTTGTAAACCTTTGATATTTTAAACTCAGATTATTTGATCTTACAGAATTCATAATTTGAAATATCTAAGGTCTACAACATTTGGTTCCAAAGATATAGTGATTAGACAATCAGATTTTGTGTCAAAGACTCAATTCCTTCGTTTTCAATAATACTGCAATCTCAGTTTAACTACCATACATTGCCGGTCAGTCCCTTTAAGTCTGAACAAATTTTTAGGGATTACGTCTTGATAAATCTTTTTAAAATCCAGATAAGCCTTAATAAATCAAGTCTAGATAAAGATTTATAAATCTAGATAAGTCTGGATAAATCATTATTAATTATTTTACTTCTAATTTAGCTACAAAGTTAAAACTGAATAGATTTGGTGAAACCAGTTATATCTGGATAAATCTTAATAAATGTAGATACATTTTGATAAACTTAGTATAAAATCCGGATAAATTTTAATAAATCTTCTTAAATCTGTCTAATCTACATAATCTACATAAGTCTTTAAATAAAGATAAATATTGTTAAGTCTAAATAAATCTAACAAGTCTAGATAAATCTAATAAGTCTATATAAATCTAACAAGTCTAGATAAATCTAATAAGTCTATATAAATCTAACAAGTCTAGATAAATCTAATAAGTCTATATAAATCTAATAAGTCTAGATAAATCTAATAAGTCTAGATAAATCTAATAAGTCTAGATGAATCTAACAAGTCTAGATAAATCTAATAAGTCTAGATGAATCTAATAAGTCTAGATGAATCTAATAAGTCTAGATGAATCTAACAAGTCTAGATAAATCTAATAAGTCTAGATAAATCTAACAAGTCTAGATAAATCTAATAAGTCTAGATAAATCTAACTAAGTCTAGATAAATCTAATAAGTCGAGATAAATCTAATTAAGTCTAGATAAATCTAATAAGTCTAGATAAATCTAATTAAGTCTAGATAAATCTAATAAGTCGAGATAAATCTAATTAAGTCTAGAGAAATTTAAATAAATCTAGATGAACCAAATTTAGTTTGGATAAATCTTTTGAAATTTTTATGAATCACGTTAAGTCTGGATAAATCTGAATAGACAAATATAATTTCTAGATACATTTACATAGATATATATATACCTTACTAAGCCTGAATAGATCTCAGTAAATCTAACAAAGTCTGAATTAATTTATAACAATTCAATTAAGATTTTACAAATCTAAATATAAAGTCTCGAGATGAAGGAATTGACGTCTTTTCATAGCTTGATGTCGTAGACCTTTGATATGTTAGAACATAACTTTTCCTGCAGAAGTAAAAGTTTGAAATATAAACGACTTACACCATCAGGTTTCAATGATATTAGAAATAAACATTTATGTTTGAGGCAAGGAATCTTTTGGTTTAACAAATATATTCACTTAAAGAAATTAAGTCTTTGCCACAAAATTATAATTTTCTAATCAATATATCTTTGAAATCTGACGTTGCAAATATTTTATATTTTAAACTTGATTATTTGGTCTAACAGGATTCTATAGTTTAAAATATCTAAGGTCTACGACATGAGGTTGCTAAAGATATAGGGATTAGAAAATTACAGGCTGTGGCAAAGATTTAATTCCTTTAGGATTCGGTATTAATCATAGATCTATTAAGAGAAGATTGGAATTCTGATCAAAGTAAAAATTTTAAATTTATGTAATTTTATATTTATATATATAAACTATAATTTTATATAATAGGCTTTTAGGGTGCTTCGCGCCCATCTTCTATTTAAATTGTGAACATCTTCTTTTTGTTTACATTTTAAAACAAAGAAGAAGAAAAATTTTGCGGATTTTTGAAAAAAATTCGTGGATTTTCAATAATTTAAATTTTTTTACAAAATTAAAAACCTTTAAAACACATTTTTTTAAATTTTTATCATTCATAACCCTTCCCTGTGGTCACGTGATGTCCCACAAAAAATTTGGGCCCGATCGGTTTAGCCGTTTTGACGTTTATTGGATACAAACAAACAGACACCCAAACAAAAAGACAGACAAGCCAAATTTATATATAGATATACTTCACATAACTCCCATGTTAATTTCCACTCCCTGGTTTTGACTGGTGTGGAATGTGAGGTTTAAGCCCTGTACTTTGTCCCAGCGGCAGATCACATTTTTACACAAATATTCCACATTTTTTAAATCTGTCAAATAATTTAACATTTATTTTTGAATTCACTACCTTTCTTAAACGTTTTTATAATCCGTCTTAAAAACTCGGACTTTCCTTGGATTCTAAATTTGACACAATTATGTAAATTCCAAGAGAAAATGGCCCCAACAACACGTGAAAATAAAGATTTGGATACTCTCACAAAAACGCAATTACTACTGTAGTTCAATATTCTAAAAATTAAATTACCTTCACTCGTTTAAAGAAAATTAAATCCTCAACATTTCTAGAAATTACGGTTAAGTCCCTTTCGCTATTTGCTAAAAAAATCTTAAAATTCATAAATATAAAAAATGTATAATTTACTTTCACTAAAACGCAACCTTCAAACCACAAATATAATTGCAATGGAATCGTGTTTAAATTAAAAAAAAATATTTTTAAAGGAATTGTTCAACTATTGCTGTCAAAAAATTATTAAGATTTTACCAGAAAGTAAAATTGAAATGGAAATAAGTTTTGAAAACTTTGATATTCTAATCCCTCTATCTTTGCAACCCAATGTCGCAGACCTTAGATATTTCAAACTTTGACTTATGATCCAATAATTAAAGATGAAATATAAAAGGTTTATACCATCACGTGGTAAAGATACAGGGATTAGAAAATATGAGTTTATGGCAAAGACGAAATTGTAGAAAAAAACTGGGTTAAACTTTTCGTCGGGGACAATTGGTAATATTGGATTATTTGTGTTTCTTAGGCGAATACATCAATACAATAAAGGCGACTTTTTATTTACGTTTTGATTATTTACAAGCTTTTTTTCGACTTACAAGTTTACAAGAAATCAAAATGAAGCTTTTTAATCTACAGCTTCTCTTTGTTTCTATGTTTATGTGAATCCATGCTGTTGAAAAGCTTGGTATAAATTAAATTTTAAATTGAATGTCGTCTTCTTTGGATTAATATAAACGCTAACCACTGTATACATTCTTCAACTGATGAACAGTCCCTTCCACGGATAAATAGAGATTTTTCTTTTCAGTTTTATTTCAGTATATTTAAAGTCTAGTTAAATTAATGACGAAAATAATTCATAAAAAAGGAAACCATCAAGGATGTACTTAATGGACTTAGAAATCTTTATTTACAAATTCATTAAATATTTTAAAAATGTTTTTTGTTCTGGAATTTATTTTATTTAGCCACAATCTTTCAATCAGAACTAGGGATAGGAAATTGACAATAATAAGATATTTGATCTTTGCTCTTTCCTCAGTTATATATAGTTCGTATTTCATGATATTTGTAAACTTTTTACGGAAGAGGTTGACAGAGGGGGGGGGGCACACAAATCTTTTTTTAAATAAAGAAAATAGTGGAAAAGTTTCAGTAGAAATCATAAGCATGCATTTTACTGTCA